ATTCTATTCTATTCTATTCTATTCTATTCTATTCTATTCTATTCTATTCTATTCCCATTCCCATTCCCATTCTCATTCTCATTCTTATTCCATACCATGAAGAGTAAAACAGAACTCACTGTTTTTCAGGAAAAACCTTGTTCTGAAATATGTCGTTTCTGAAGAGACCTGTTCAGCCCTTATCTGGTTCTGGCACCATCTCCTTCAAAAAACCCACAATGCTGGGATATTCCTTACAGAATTCCTAGGCACAAGTAGATCTTGACTGGTTCCAAAAAGCCGATCCCAAAGAGATGATAAAAGCCAAGCCTGTTTGATAATAGGATGAAAGAGTATCCTAAGCTTATAGTCTAGACGGTAAATCCTAAGGTTGTAGTTTGAACTGGGAAGTTGAAAAAATAACCCAGAAAGCAATGATAACTTTCTTCCATATTGTTGCCAAGAATATATGGAACATTGTTTTTGCTATATGAATCATTTTCACCAGCAAAGATGAAAAATATATGACTGGAAATATGAGAATGAAGAACCAAGAAGTTTATTTTCTGGGAATCTCCAGATTCAATGGGAATTGGCCACTGTGAGAAACAGAATGCAAGTCTAGATGGATCATTGATTTAATAAGAGAAATACTGCAAAAGTTAACTTATTCCAAAATATTCTCTTTAAATTTGGATAGGGTTCTTAAACAGACATATAGGTGATTGTAGACACTGAAGATCTAGAGACTCTAGCTAAGATGCTGCTTGTTTTTGATGAGTGATGAATTTGATTTTGGCCCAATAACAAAGATAAAACCCTTCCGTCCATTAAAAGTATGCACATTCGCAGTAAAATAAAACAGTTTCATCTCCACATTAACAATACTGCAATATTGTCTAATTGCCTAAGTTGTCAACAACCACCTCCCCAATCATTTCTTGTAAACGGCATATTGACTATAATTGTATGCTTCTTATTCTGAAGCTTTGCGGAAACTGAGGTTTGCAGAATTGCACACATCTAATATTAGAGAGGAAGGAGGAGGAAACGCTGTCAGTATCACATTTAACTGCTATTACTCTTCCTGTTCCATGACTTGGATGTTTCAGACCTATCTTAATGAGAACAGCAGTTTTTCTTTCTTTCTCCTGAGTGAATGGCTTCTTCCAAAACCTGTTGAGCCTCTCTTTGAGAGCAAATTGTGTTGCTAATGGTGACTTCCAGTGCAGATGGCTGAAGGACAATCAGGTGAAGCACACAGAGAAAACTCCATGTTAATTCTGGTTCAGCAAGACGGAATCATATGAGAAGGTGGTAACAAGCTCTTATTCCATAAAGCGAGGCTCTCTTTCTGGTTTGGAAGGAATAGGTAAGTCGCTATTAATGGGAAAAAATAGTTTCGTGGAATTTTTGTCTGATCTGTTTTTATTTTCTAAGGCTAAGGATTTTTGTTTGTTTAGTTTAGTATTTTTGTGTCCATGTTGACTCCTGGTGACTTCCTGCAGTTTTGTTGGCAAGCTTTTTGAGAAGTGGTTTGCTCTTGCCTTTTTCCTCAGGCTGAGTGAAAGTACATAGAATAGGGCCAAAAAGGGACCAAGCAGGCGACTTCATACCATTCTGGACAAGTGACTGATCTGGATTTGGGAGTAAGGCAGACTAGAACTTACTCCTGGTTTTTAGCCTGGTGCCTTAACCACCATGCCACCTATCTCAGGTCTAATGATTTAACATTCAAAACCTAACATAAATATTATGGTTAATATTAGGAGAGCTATTAATAAATCCAGAAGAAAAAATGTCCTCAAAGGAAATATACTTTCTGTTCACCATTACATTAGTCTCATGTTTTCTTTTTAAATTTATCGTGATAGAACATTTACAGTATTTTGAGACCAAGTCTTTGGAAAATGCACTTCATCTAGGGAACTGGTGCATTATGATATGGTGTTGGATACTTAAATGTTAATCGGGAAGTCTTCAGTTCATCAGGGCATCTCTGATGGAAGCCATAGATCTCAACCTTACATTCCTCTGTAGAAGATGGGGATAATGCAGGCCATTTTCTTGCCAGGACCAGGAGTCACATAACAAAACAAGTTCAGCCTGTAGGATAGAAGTCTAGAGTTCTCAAGCCTCTTTTCCCAGAATCTCAGTGGGTCTTCATCCCCTGACCAGATCTCCTTCTTTGGTCTGGCAGCTTGGCAGTGCCACCCACCATCACCTACTCCCAGTGCAAGAGAAAATAGAAGTAAAAGCTGAACCCACAGTATGCTAGTTGAAGCGTCTCCAAACCTGGCCACATTAAGCCTTGTGGACTTTAACTCCCAGAATTCCTCAGCCAAACTGAGTTCTGTCACCAAAGATAGGCTGAGGTGTCTGACTCTTTCTGTATGTGACACAAAATTATTTTCCTCTGTGTCTCACCAGTGCAAGTATGGCCAGCAGCCTATAGTATAGCAAGCAAGTACATTCACATTAGGACCCAGTTAAAGATTCTGGAGGATCTGTTTAAAAAATGGGAGAGCTGGTAATAAAGAAGTAGGTGAGGCCAGGACAAAAATAAAATCTGATTTGATTTAATTTCAATTTAAGTTTAATCAAAGTAATGTGACAAAATGTGATTACCACCTGTGTATTTAATAAGAGGCATGGTTAAGCTAATTTGCAATAGAAAGAAAAGAATAAAACAAATGAGGGATTTTAGAGATTTGGTCAGTTTCTTGCCATTCCTAAACAAAAGCTACAAGTAGTATAAGAGCTGATAATTATCCAATAACGGAACCATATTCTCCCAATAGAATATAAACTTGAACAAGTTCTGCCTTTTTATATTCACAAGAATAAGAAACGTGTTAATATTATTTTGAGAGATACGTGTAGAATACTAGATACTTGATTTAGCAAAAAAAAATCATTTCCACTACTAATGAGAATGTACTTGATTTTCTATAATAAAATTATAGGATGTAATTGGATATTCAAATAAAATGTTTGTAAGTGAAAAGTTGAGTTCCTGACATCCAAAGAGGGAGAATCATAATATGAAATGATGCATTACACAACTTCTGTTGTTTCCTCATTTCCTCTTCATGGTACATTTAACTTTCTAACCTCAATAATGCCTTAATTCTGAATAATCTCATTCAGGCCAATGCGGTTATTCTACAGCCATGATGGTGAGCCTATGGCACACATGCCACAGATGGCACACCAGCTGTCAGCTCTGGCGCGCATGTGCGCACATGCCAGCTGATTTTTCACATTTCTGGAGAGCCAGGAGAGGCCGTTTTCATCCTCCCCAGGCTTCAGGAAAGCCTCTGGAGGCTGGAGAGGGCGAAAAACGGCCCCAACGAGCCAACCAGAAGTTTGGGAACGAGTTTCCAATTTCCGGAAAGCTGGGGGAAGCCATTTTTGCCCTCCCCAGGCTTCAGGAAAGCCTCCAGAGCCTGGGGAGGGGTCGTGTGCATGCAGTGTGTGTGTGTATGTGTCGTGCATGCATGTGCAGTTGGGTGGGAAATTGAGTGGGCATGCATATGCACGCAGCAGTGCATGAAATTTTAGCACGCTGTAAGAAAAATGTTCGCCATCATGTTCTACAATAAATGGTTGTAATTTCAGCTCATTCCTAAAGATTCAGACACAGGCACTTTTGTCATTGTGAACAATGAGATTCTGCACCTGCTTATGTCTGATGAAGGTGTGAATGCTATGATATCTGCTTAAATTTGGTGATGATTTTATTGATTTTATTTAGGAAATAATTTAGACAAGCTTTTCACACATAAAGAAGTACCAATTAGATTTCTTTGGTCTTCTTTGGTCAATGAAGTTATAAAGCTACCGTTTATATCAAGTGGCACGAAGATAAAGCTAACTTCTTCCTTTGATCTGAAACACATTGTGCATTTTGCATAAAGAGAGATAATCTCCAACTCACAAATTCTTAGGCCTCCTAGAAAACATGGTTGCTTAGAGGTATATTTCTCATATTTGCAAAACTGGAGATGAATGGTGATTTTTCAGACAGTTCTCTCTCTTTTGATCTCTCTTGTTATTTCTTTCTTCAAGTCACATCAATGAAATTCTCCCACGTTTTTGCTTGGCGATGATGGTCGCAGTTTTTCTATTTATTGTACACTAATTCATGAGTCAATATGCATGGGTGCAATATGAGTGCACATTGCAGGAAATAACAAAAGGACATGAGAGGGGTGTGGTCAGTTAGAATTTTATTTTTTTTATGCAAAGCGATATTATGTGCCCTGAGAGACTTAGACAAAGCATAATTCCCTCCCTCTCTCCCACCCACTCTCTCTCTCACACACCCCACATGAAATTAGGAAACAGATCTTTATCTTTTATTACTTTGCTTATTATAATTGGCTATTAAATACTTTTTTTTGAAAGCTACATATAACAAACAAAGGTGTATAAGCCCAGTAAAATTGAGCAATGATAAACCACTTTTCCTACTACACTTATGTACCAACAAAGTTATAGTCAAAAGAACCAGGAGACATTTAACAAAAATATTCCCGAACCAATTTTCTACCAGAATTACTAATTTATTTCTTTTATCAATTTAATATTACTTCCAGTAGATTGAGAGCCTGAAGTTCATATCTTCATGGGAGGAAGCAGACAACTGTTAATAAGAAGAGCAGATGTATTAAACAGATAATGAGTTTGTGAAAACAAAGGCTTGTCTGAAATACACACTTCTATTATTACTGTTTTTAAAAAGAACAATGCCTTGCAAATGTTTCACTAATGAATGAAGGATGTAAGTTTTCATAACTCATTTGCCTGCTGGATGATATTGGATATTCTGTCTTATGAACATCAGAAGAGAAGATGTCTCAAGAATTTAACTTTAACTTACTTAAGGAACTAGAGCAAGACATTGTTCTAAATGTCCTTTGCCGTGACGAGATGTTGAGAAAACTGGAGGAACAAAGAGTAAGGTATGTGTGTTCTTATTTGGGAATGCAAGCTGCTGTTGGTTGTGTAAGTTAATCTACTGTTCAAAATATATAATACAATATCTTTTGAGGACCAAACAAAATGGCATGCAAAAATGTACAAGTTTATTGTCCAAACTTTTGAGTTATCCTGAATGCTTCTGTGGTACGATAGCCCAAAAACACCCTCTAGTGTTGAAATTTTAAATGAAATCATTTGTAGGAAGAAACCTAAGTGGTTTCATGGATTAATTTAAGGAACATGGTGATATGCGCTGCAACTGCTGCAAAAAAATAATAGTAAAAACAGGTCAGTCAATTGCCCAACTTATTTTGTGTCCGTCATAACTTATGACCATCATTGGCACGCTCCATTACTATCCTGAGTTGAGGACTGCATACCACTTGTTTCCAACTCTTATATTTCAATTACTGTAATGAAAATGCTAGCTGTTGACTTAAGTTCTAAGTAGATAAAACCATCAGAGTAAAACTGGTTTCTGGTTTTGTCAATTTCCTCTTCTTCAGAAACAGTCAATCTCCCACTGTCTAGATCTCCCACTTCTTTTTCTTCCTCTTTTGTGTGGATTGTTGTATTACAGGTCTTCAGCAGTTTGAAGTGGGACAGTAGTTTATGTGCCCTCTCAACATTCAAACAGGCAGAAGCAGAGAGATTGACAGACCAAGTTCGAAGTATTTTTGTGGGCTTGGGGAATGAAACTGGTGACTGTGTGGAAGTGCCCTCATTCATTGCCAGTGGAATTAGCTTGGCAATTAAGAATTTTTGGGGAAAAAATAAGGATTTTGATGCTTCGGTGCTGATTTTCAACATAATATTCCAAAACAGTTTACAGTTTCAAAAATTTAAATATTAAGAAAGCATACCATTCAGTAAAGCAACTGTAAGAGTTAGCCATCAATCTTTAAACATGAAAACAGAATTCCATGTTCAAAACCAATCACTTTCTAAAAATTCATTAAATTCATAAGCCTCCTTAACAATTGGTGGATTGTTATTGTACTGGACAAGCATATTCTTGAGGGCAAAGGTGCACAAATAATGGGATACCAATAATGATGTTCAATAATTCATACCAGTGGTAAGATAGATCTTAATGCTTGTGCAATTTTATATGCTTGCAGAAAGTTCTTCACTATGGTTGGTTTGGTTTACTACAAATATCAGCCCCAAATTATAAAAAAACTCCTAACTGATCTTTCAGAGAAACTGAGACCCCATATAAAACAGAGTAAATGGATTCATTCAGATTTATCCGCTTTCCCACCAATTAAGGTTTCAATTAATTCTCCCTCCTCAAAACGCTTTTTAGAGAATGTTTCATGGTTTATCTATGATCAAGATAGAACTTGTCTCTGCATTGATGAGGCTAGATCAGAGGTGTGCATTCTTGACTTGCTCAAAATGCTGCGTAGCCTTTACATTAGGATCACGCTGCAGAAATGGGAAGGATGGTAAGAGCCAGGTTTAGAAGGAGGGTTTAGTGGTTTTAACGGGTGACATTGTTAGATAGTGTCATGGATGCAAGTGACATGCATTTGAGCAAACTTTGGGAGACAGTGGAAGACAGGAAGCCTACCGTATTATGATCCATGGGGTTGTGAAGAGTGGGACATGGTTTAGCAACTGAAAAACAACAAATAGAGGTCTTAAGTATTTTGAAGAGTTAAGTTATAACAGTGATGGCTAACCTTTTTGGTGCCGAGTGCCCAAAACACACATGCATGCAAAACCCCAAAATGCAATGCAAGCAACCCTGCGCATGCCCCTTGAGCATGCGCTCCACCCCCATACATGCATGTGCATCCCTGTGCATTTCCTCCCCATGCCCCGTTTTGGCTTCCAGATTGGTGCAGGAGGCTGCCAAGCCAAAAATGGGGTACCCCCTCCGTACACGTGCACGAACCCTCAAAATGCAATGCAAGTGCCACCACACATACGCCGCATCCTCCTGCACATGCCTGCATATGTCCCCTGCATGCACCCCTCCCCCAGCACATGCACAGCAGAGACCTGAACTCCAGCTGGCCAGCGGGAGGCGCACACTCATGCACAGTAAAGCTGGGCTGGGTTGACGGTTGGCATGCCTGCGGAGAGGGCTATGCATGCCATAGGTTTGCCATCATGGCTCTATAGAATTTTGCCCTTCAAACTCCCCCCCCCCTTAAACTGGCAAAACTGCCAGAGCAAGACTCCAAATTTGGCCCTAACCATTCAGAGAGGTTTAGAATTCTACATAAGGAATGTTGCACTTTTTGAGATCCTTTGGAGCTCTGGATCCCTTCCCCTATCCACTTTATTTACAGATGTAAGAAGGGTTGTAAGACAGGATAGAATTTTGCAATGCCCCATATGTGAAAGTCACTGAGAAATATATAAATAATCTAGGAACAGGGTCAGATTGCCAAATTACTAGTCAGGACAAACTGGAATCTTCCTATTGTCAAGTCATTCAGATCATTCAAGCCATGCATCTCAAGATTCTATTGTTCATGAGAGTTTGTAGGTTGAAACCCTTCCTGGTTCTTTTTGTGTCCTGAGCATGTAAGAATCAAATTAAAATATATTCAACTCCTCAGAATCATCCAAAATTGCTTCTCCAAAACTTTATTCAAGAATGGACCATTAAATATTCTGGGGTAATTTCCCAGGCTATTTGACATTTTACATTGGAGGTTTAATAGAAGGGTTCCTTTCCATGGAACATAGAGAGTATCATAATTCACAGCTAAAGCTTAATAAAATTTGTAATGCTGGTACATGTTCCACCTGGCAAATGTGTGAATATTCTTATTTCTTTCTGGCCAACTACAGCCAACTGAAAATCCAACTACAGCAACTTTGGCGTAAAGGAACAAAGAATGCCAACTATGGATCTCAGAAACGGTCATGTGCCCGTTGTCAGAAGTCATTTGGAATCCTGATCGATAGAGGAGCAGTGTGCAAAGGATGCAGCCATCTTATATGCTCTCAATGTCGCATTACTGTAAATGCCTTTCTGTGGAAATGCACTGTCTGCTATGCTTCTGAGTAAGAACTTACCTTAGTTTAATACTCGAATTGCTGATTATTCTTTACTAGTTTTCTGATATGAAAACAAATCAAACTAAGTACAGGAAGTCCTCAACTTACAACAGTTCATTTAGTGACTATTTGAAGTTACAATGGCATTGAAAAACTGATTTATGACCATTTTTCACAGTTAGGACCATTGCAGCATCCCCATGGCCAAGGGATTTACATTTGGATGCTTGACAGTTGACTCACATTTATGACAGGTGTCGTGTCCCAGGGTCATATGCTCCCCTTTTGAGACTTTCTGACAAAGTCAACAGGGAAACCTTAACAGCCATGTTACTAATTTAAGAACTGCAGTGATTCACTTAACAAATGTGGCGAGAAAAATTATAAAATGAATTATAAAACTCACTTGACAAATGTCTCACTTAGCAACATAAATTTTGGACTCAACTGTACTCATAAGTTGAGGGCCACCTGTATATATTTGACAGTAGGGACCTCTGTCTTGGGAATCAAATTTATAGGAGTTTCCGAATAGCCAGCTGCTGAAAATGGCAGAATGGCTTGATGAGTCTTTCAGAAGAAGAATTAGAAAAATAGTTCCTGAGGAGAGAAGAAAAAAGGGTTCAAGTGGGTATATGTATGAGCTGATTTTCAGGACAAAACTAATTTGGTTTTATTTATTAATAAAATAGTTGTGGAGCTAGGAGCCAAATATTTACAGTGTCTGAATGGAGTTTCAAAAATTAACTGCAGCTATAGGTGCTCTCAATATGAATTAGGTTTTGTATGCTAGTGCAAAATCACAGAATACGTAACTCTGATTATGCAAGAGTTGATGTTTCACTGCTCTTCATCACCATGATGGAACTGATTTGACTTTATTTAAATAACTAGTCCATTTATTGTTCCAAAAGTCCTCCTTGAAAAAGGCATGTTTAAAATTCAAATAAGCACATTTTGTTTTTTTGCAGGTCTGTTAAAGTGAAAACAGGTGAATGGTTCTTTGAGGAGAGAGCAAAGAAATTCCCAACTGAAGGTACCAAATAAAAACAGGAGAAGCATTAAGTTATATGCCAGATAAATTGATAACTTTGATAAGTTTCTCATTCTAATTCATGTTTTATCTTAGCAAAAACAGTCTTCAAGAATGCTAATCTGTTAAGTGTTGAGATTTCAAAATGCAATTTTATTGAGCTATAATAGTTGCAATTGTATTGAATTACCGTATTTTTCAGAGTATAAGATGTTCCGGACTGTAAGACACATCTACCTTTTGGGGGGACGAAAACAAGAAAAAAAATCCTGCCTTTGCTTCCCAGAATCCACCTGGCATTCATCTGGCCCGTTCGCCATAGCCCATTCAGCGCTGCTGCCGCCCATTCACCACCACCACCGATTCACTCTGGCCTGTTCGCTGCCACCCATTTGCTGCCACCCGTTCGCCACCACTGTGGCTTGTTAACTTCCATGGCCCATTTGGTGTGGCCCATTCGCCGCCGCTATTCCCTGCCATCTGCAACCACCGTAAAATGCAATGCATGGAGGCCAAAAACGAGTCGTGTGGAGGCTGAAAATGTGACATGTGGAGTCAGAAAACGCGCAGCAGATGGGGGCCAGTGGGTGGACAGGGATTCAGCAACATTTGGTGTATAAGACACACCACAATTTTCACCCACTTGGTGGCGGGGAAGGCATCTTATACTCTGAAAAGTACGGTATTTCAATTCACACTGCCTTAAAATATAAATATATGCATTTGTCGTAAGTAATAACACTCAACTACTTAGGTTAGTTCACCTTTTGTGCTGAATTCAATGATTTTAGTACAATTACAGGTAGGCAAATCTATTTCTGTTGGTTGTCCTTTTTTGCATTTATGTGTGGCTTCTTTATGTCCATTAATCCCATTTCCATTATTTCCAGCAAATTTCTGCATATGGATAGAAATATTAGAACTACAACAATAATATGATATTATGACATTTGCTGAGGGATTTCCTTATCTGGGTTGACCTTTCTCTGGTGGCAAATTCTACCCTGGGCAGTAGGGTATAGTATTTTCCAAGATACAGAACAACAATGATAACCTTGCAGGATCCAATCTGGATCAGTCACTGGGACTAGAGGTTTAGTCGTCTGAGCTTTTGACATTCATGCTCAAGTCCATCCTCAGGGAATTTCTCTTTATCCAGAATGTGTGCTTTGGGATATTTTATGCATAGTATTTATATGGTGCCTGGTTGTGTGTAGTTTTTTAGTTGTTGATTGGGATAGTGATGCCTGGGTATTAAGTCATAATTAACAGCTAGCCATCAACACCCCAATCAAAAACTAAAAAACTACACACAACCAGGCACCAATAAATACTACATATAGAATTGTCCAAACTCCAAAGCACATATTCTGGTAGAAAGAAGTTCTCTGAGGATGGGCTCCAGCACAAGTCAAAAAACTCGGAAGACTAAACCTCTGGTCCCGATGATCAACCCAGATTGGATCCTGCAACATTATCCTGAGATGCGTATATTTGCTTTCATTTGTAATGATAACCTTGTTGGTTCATGGTTGGAAGAAAAAGAGAACCTTCATACCAGAGGGTCTTTTTTTTAACATGCTGAGAGTTCAAATCCCTCCAGTTCCTAAATAGTGTCAGATGCAAGAAATCAGGAACCAAAATAGAGTTCAAAAGTACTACAAGTTTATTTCATGCTACTTATATGCAAGAATCAATGGTCAAGGCAAATTGGTGCCAGGTAAGAGTTAAGGGACTTCAAGAAGGGGCTGGACTTAGATCTCTTATGGAGGCATAAAGACTCCAAATTGATGATGCGTTTGACCCTGACCTCAGGCTCAGACTGGTCCTCTCCTAAAGTAATGTTACAATGAATTGTTCTTTTTTTAACTTAGCACACCACATAACTTTACTGTCTGCCTTTCCTCTGTATTGTTTTTAAAATCTTTAATTTTGCTCTTTGTCAGACTAGAACCTTATGTACTTTGTCAGTGATTGGAGACAGATGGAGGATATATATCCTTTGTGTTTTCAGAAATGGTACTTTAAACAGCAGAATTTATGACTCAAATTGCTGTTATGCTCCACACTTTACATTTTCTTGCTTTTGTCTGACAAAGAGTTGTGGATAATGTGAAGGCTTGCACAATATCTGTGTCAGTGTGGTTGGCCCATGTTCTGCTTAAATATGGATGCGGGTTTCTTTCCCTCATGGGCCATCAGACACCTTCCTTAAAAAGGAAAACAGCTATCATGAGAATTTTCTTAAGTGGAAATTTCTATATACACTCTTGCCAAAGCTGCTTATATCAAATTTCAGTGTTTATTAGGCTTTCTAATCTTTTCCCTATCTACCTGATTAATTCCAGAGCATTTCTCTTGCAAAAACACTGGAAGATAGAGACCAAATTGAGTTTTGTTCTAGTTACAAAAAAGTGGAATTTATTCAAAGGCACTGCTGCTGTTGAGATCCAGAAGGTGATGGAGGGTTGTTGCATATGTTTTAATGTGTGTTTTTTAAAATGATAGCAAAGAGAAGAAAGGGAATGCAATTTAAGCATAAGATGGGCCAAGGAAAGAGGAAATAATGAAAATAAATTAATATTACCATTATTTTTTAAAAAAAATAATATTAGAAAATAATCTATAAGTGAATTTTAATTACATTTCAAATGCATATGTTAAACAGTGTTTATAGGAACAAGATATAAAAAATTAAATCTAGGTATATAATTAAAGTACAAATCCCAAAAGAAATAATATTATTTTGATTTGTAAAGGTACCGTCTCTTCCCATTTTGACATAATGTCATACTCCTGATGTCATTGTCCCACCTTGATGATTCTTGGATGCATCAGGTTTGCTTCTTCCATCTCTTCAACAGCTCTTGGTAGACTTTGGGTTGGGTTGGGATGTAATGGGAAAACCCCCAGAAAAATCTAGCTATTTGCGTGTCAAAAGTTGTCTTCCACAACATCAAGTGTTTCCCCAAAAATAAGACAGGGTTTTATTTTCTTTTGACCTCCCCCCCCCGAAATTTTGCTTGGGCCTTATTGGGAGGCTTATTGGTTTGGGTTGCCAGGTGGCTGCACAGCCTCAGGGGCAAACGGCTGTGTTGCGCTCTCGCGGCAGCGCAACAAAGCCGCCATGAGGTGACCACGCTCATGAGCAGCCGCCCAGCAATGCCCCTTTCCAGCTGGGCAGAGCGCCACTCACCGACCCAGTAATATCCCAAAGGCACTAAGCCGCATGGTGCTCTGCCCAGCTGGAAAGAGAGGTTGCGCGAGCACTTGTTCTGCCTCCAGCTTGCGTGCCTCCCTGCCTCACCATGCCCAACTCTCCTTGCAGGGCTGGGCCGGGCCATTGCCACCGTCACTGCCATGCTCCGAGCATAACTGGCTTCCAAACTCCAGAGATCCGCTGTTGAGTCTTCCGGCAATGGCCGCTCGGAAGATTTGTGAGAGCAGCTGCCCGGCAACCCCCACCACCCACCAACCTAGCGGTATCTCAAAGGCATCAAGCAATGTGAGCACCTTTGTCCCCCCCTCCCCACGACTCCTGCGGCTTTGCTCCTTCAGGATATCGCTAGGTTGGTGAGTGGCATTCTGCCTGGCTGGAGGAGGGGTGTTGTCCAGGGGGCTTATTATTGGGGGAGGGCGTATATTTTTGCCCACAGGAAAAATATGGCATGGTCTTATTATCAGGGCATGTCGTAATTTCGGGGAAACATGGTAGATTTCTTTATATCAATCTTTTTCCCACATCAAGATGTACAGGACACCGCTGGTCAGCTGACTAGAAATTATGCAATATCAAATTCTATAAACTTAAAAGGGAATCAACTTGGGAAAGATAACATTTTCTAGATTGATGGCTTAAAATGGAGAAAACTGAATTTTTGAATGGTAATCAAGGAAAATGATTTGTTCTTTGATAAGAACAAGGATGTTTTCTTTAATAACTGTCTAAATATATAAGGTGGCTCATGTAATTCAACATTTTCCTAAAAAAATATTGGACTTTTAGCAGTTTTCAGGGCAAATTATTGATTATTGAATTTATGAATGAGGTGTTATTTTATGAATTCAAATGGTGCCCTCTTTTGGCATTTTATCATAATGCCAAACAATTATTCAGTTTTAAATGCAATTGAATGTAATATAATCATTATTATGGTACAATTTAGGAAAAAGCATGCTAAATTACTAAGAGTTCTTACTAATCCAGTTCCAAAATGCAGTGTAATATTAACCTATCCTGCTAGAGAAAGGACTTCCCTTAGCATAGAACTACCATATCTACAGTATATGTGAAATACAGAACCAATAAATAACTCTTTTGTGGTTCACCGACAAAAGGGCGAACGACAAAACCGCGCCCGACTAAACCGCGGTGACAAAACCGCATGTTCTAAAGCGCTCCGACGAATGAGCGCTGAATCGTGCCGACAACAGCGCAGCGACAGAAACACGCTGTAAAACTAAACCTACCCCTAACCCTAAACCTAACCTTAAACCTAACCCTAAACCTAATCCTAAACGTAACGCTAAATCTAACCCTAAACCTAACCTTAAACCTAACCCTAAACCTAACCCTAAACGTAACGCTAAATCTAACCCTAAACCTAACCTTAAACCTAACCCTAAACCTAACCCTAAACGTAACGCTAAATC